TGTGGGCAGACCTGGTTTCTAGGAATAATATTAATTAATAGAATTTTTATTGGCATTACTTACCACGAGCAAAGCTGCCCGAATTTGTTTAGTCTTCCAATAAATTTGCGCTGGCATTTTTATCTGTGTTTTCTGGTAATCATGGTTTCCATGCTGCAATTAGAAATCGGAGGTGTTTTAATTGAAATATCATAGGACAATAAACAGTGAGAAAGGCAAACAGAAATGTGTAACAAGGCAGCACACAGGCTAAGGCAGGTGAGCAAACAAACACACGTAAACCAATACAAATAAGAAGCACTAACACAAGCACACACACACACATACAAACAGGCTAAATAAGCACTTAAATCAATAGAATGTGTTACGAGCAATGTTGTTTGCATAATTAAACTAAATATTGTTAAATCTTTGCGCATGCAACGATTAATGAAGGCAACAATACGAAACGACAGCTGACGGAATGCCCAGAAATGTGGGCGTGGCAGGGCGGATAGGGTGAGCAGGTTGAAGAGTTTGAAATTATGGGAGACTCTTTGGCACATCGCACTGCGCTCACATAAACAAAAACAACAACAAGATGAAGAAGAAGAAGAAGAAGAAGAAGCAGCAGCAGTAAGAGTAAGAGCTACAGTGAGCGTAATAAATACGTTTACGGCTCTGAGACATTTGTCATTCAAATTAAGTACAAACGGCATTACTCATTTTATTCAAGGTACCGCCCCAGCAGCCCCAACGCCCCCAACAGTCAAACAAACAAGCCAGCACTGTGGGCATGGCACTCGACAACAAATTTCACAAATTAAGCTAGCAAACAGAATTTGCTCTTAAATTTCCTGCCTTCTGTCTCTTTACTCTTATTTGTTTTTTCTTGTCTTTTTTTATTTTTTTTTTTTTTTTCTGAAGCAAAAATTTAATTTAGATTTATGCACGTTAATTTGGTTTGGGTTGATTTTGCTGGCTCGACTTGAGCTGCCTGCTGTTTATTTTGAATTCATTTTATTTAACAGTCAAGCAATTTGTTTGGCCTGAACAGGCAAAGGAGTGAGCCGGAGTGGGAGTGGGGTGGCATGGGGGGCCATTGGGCGGCACGCAAAATTATTTAATGTACTTTTAAATATACGCACGTAATTTTAGACTGTACAACAGGAAGCTGCCAAAGGCTATGCTTCAATTTGATAAAAGGCTTCGGGTTTTATAAAAGAAACAGAGTCTCTAATGTTGCACTGAATTTATTGGAGGGAGAAAAAAACTTTGTATAAAAGTACAAAATATATTTAGTTTAATGAAGAGAAAAGTTTTTATTATTTTCTATTATTTTCTAGTATAAATATTTGCCTATAATTTCTGCAGCTTTAATTAGAAAAACTTTGTTATTTTTAAATGAATATTATATAGCTATAAGACTTAAGTATTATTGTATTATTTATTAACCAGAATAAGCCACAAAGCAGTTTGCCAAAGAGAACACCCAAAATACAATGTAGATATTAGGTCATTTAAATTCTAGTTGTTTTGAGGGCTGCCCTGAGGGCTTCTCATACTTTATTTGTATTTATATCTGGATTCTAACAATATTTCTTTGGTAATAATTTTCTTTTGGGATTTCTGCTCAAAATTTGCAAGTTTATATAAACATTTTTCATTTATTTATTTACATTTCAACTGATCAACTGAGCATTTAAACTTATACCCTTTAATATGAATAAAATAAAAAATCATTTCAAAAAAATAGTGCACTAAAATATCTTGAAATAATTTCTAAAATATAATACCAAAAAATTTAATAAAAAAATTGTTTTTGTAAAAAAAAAAATCTTTGCACCTATAAGTATAAATTATATTAGACTAAATATTTTTTAAGTAAATAAAATTTTGAAAAAAGATTAAAATACAATAATACATTTAAAGTACTTTTTCCAGCAATGAACGCAAGCTCTACATAAATTTTCTACATTTGTATATCAATTGCGTAGGAAAAACCTAGCTAAATATATTTATTCGCCTTTTTCAACGCCATTATAACTGCATAAAAGGTATTTTATAACAAAACAAAAAACCGGCAGTGCCTTCTGCTTTGTTAGCTCTTAGTTAGTACATTACATAATTAAGCTTTAAAAGCCAAACTGCATTAAAAAAAAGCTCATGAAACTTTCGATGATGAAATTAATTAAAAAACTTGCAGCTCTGCACTATGTAGGTAGATTTACATATATATATATATGTATGTATAAATACTTATATACGCTATATAAGTATGTGTACATATATACACACTTATTTCTTACTGCAACATTTCAATTAATCCCCATATATTTTGCGTGCGCCGGACAGAGAGAGCGAGAGAGAAACACACACACACACACAGCACAGACACAGACACACACAGAGAGAAAGAGATATTTGCTGTTAGCCTAATCAATCCTAAACCATTTGAATGCTCACCAGGGAACACTTAAGGTCGCCGAGCACGTACCACAAATTGGAAAATGCTAAAAATACATGATACCAATTAGTTTTCCTTTTTTTTCCCCCCCAGCGCGATGGGAATATTTTTGTCCGGGCTCAAAGTTTACATCTATTGCGAATGGTATTACAACTTTTTCATGCTCATGTTCAGGCTCTCATAACATATTTTCTAAAGCAAAAGTTTCTATATTTTTATAGGCGAAGCATTTGGTGAGGTAATTATGAGCAGATAGCCGTGAAAAATATCTCGCTGCTTGGCCGAATTCTTCACTGTATGTTGCTCCCTAAGCTTCACACATACACACGAACACACACACACACAGCTCGCAGTATTGGAATGCGATGTGACAGCCGCCGCTGCGTTCGTTGCGGTTTTCAACACTTGCTCCCAGCCCCAAACCACATCAGCCCCACCCCAATTCCACAAGCCATATAAAAAATCAAAAATATAACTTCAAATATTACAGACGAGGTCATAAATTAAATGCTGGGTTGGGCCACCTTTCCCTCACCCCCTTGCTCTCACATCCACTCATTCTCTCTTATTCCTTTCTCTCTCCCCCTCTGTGCGTGAGCCTCGCAGGTGATTTTATGTGGTTTTTATGTGCGTGTGGTTTCTCCCGAATTGGGTAGCTGAAACGTAATGTAATTAGTTGGCACAACCAAATACATAATGAGCATAATTTAAAGATTTATTTGCTTCGGCAAATTTAAGCGCATTTTTATACATTTTACGAATGGCGCGCACTTAACATTCATCTGGCATTTAAATGCAGCTGTAATTGCTTTATTTCCCCTATTTAAATCCATAAATAATTTCATATGATTTTTCTTTCTTTTTTTTTTATTAACCATATGCGAACTGCAGCAACATTTACTTTTCTGACTTCTTTACTTATGCAATGCAATTCGACGGAAATTTCGTCGAGTTTTTCGTTCTCGTTTTCGTTTTCGTTTCATTTTTTAAGTTTGATTAAACTTCCCTCGGGCTATTTGCATAAGGTTACGCAATTAATTAAATAATTAAAAACTGATTTCGTATGCTCCGCTTTCAAACGCAACGGGCATCAGACAGACAACTGGCAGCCAGACAAAAAGGGGGAAACAAGTAAAGAACGCTTGAAATAAATTAACTATGCTCTTGTTTTGAATACACTAACAAAGAGTGGTCGA